AAAAAGATTTAAAAATAGATACTTTAAATAATCAAAATAATCAAAATAATTTAATATTGACTAGTTCAAATAATTTAGGTAATTATTATTATATTTTAATTATTTTATATTAATATTTATACTAATCTTTAAATATTATTTTTTTAAGTTCAAAATTATTCATTTTCTTAGCAAATAGAATTATTAACAGCAGTATTATTAAAATATCAAAAAGAAAATAGTGAATATTTATTAGATCCTAAAAAGTTTTAATAAATGATTGAGTTAAATAAACCAAAATTAAAAGGATTTTTTGATGAAATGATTAATGCATTAATTCCAAAAAAAAAACTTGATAAAAATAGAGAAAAAGCAAAAAACAAGTAGTTGGATATTGCTATCTTTTGGTTAGAATAAGAAACAAGTTTGCTAATAATTTTAAATTAGATCTTGGACTTTATTTACAATCATCAGGAATGACTAATTCTGAAATTAATACTTTATCAAATATTGGACTTAGTGTTCATACAAAAACACTTCTAAGATATAAAAAAGATATTGCAAAAGCTTATTTAAAAAAACTTAATGAATATTTTAATTTAAATATAAAGTATAGTTTTTTAATTTTTATATATTTATTAATTTTAAATTTATCAACTCTTTCTGATGATCCCTTGTACCAAATTTTTAATAACCAAAATTTCAAAAAAATCTGTTGTTAGAAATATACGAAGAAAGACAATTATCTAATAAGTCGGCACCAGTTATTTAGAGATAGTTCTCATATGCTATCTGCTAACTGGCTTAGAGTTTATCACTTACTGCAAGAGCAGCACTTGTTATTTAGAGATAGTTCTTATACGCTACCTGCTAACAAGTTTAGAGTTTATTACTCACTGCAGCAAAAGCCTTCTGTACTCCACTCTCCCTCTAGTTAGGGTAGACACTTCTTTTTGCAGAAATAAACACTCCTTAAGAAATAGTACAAGGGACTCCTTATTTTTACTTCTCTCCACTTTCCTGCCAGTCTTTCAAAATTTTTATCAAAAAGTGGGCAATTTGGTTTACCCCCTCCAAAAGATCAGCATTGTTTACACTTCCTAATTCAGACATACTCAGTAGAATGCAACCATGTGTCATGTTTGTTTACAGATACAGTGCACCTCATGGGTTGGATCGAAGTCAGATCGGGACCTAACGGTTAAAGAGATTTCTGAAGACAGTTGGTTAGTCGAAAAGAGAAATACACATTAAGGTGACGCTTTACAAGAGAGATATACAATTGTTGCAGTTGTTATATAATTTTTATCTACCTTGCATGGGTTATAATAATGCATTGTCACAGACTCTTCTTTTTTTGTTTTTTTAGTTGAGTCTTTACTATCTTCTAGTCTTTCGTCCTTTTTAGTTTAGTTTAGTTTTATGTTAGA